ACATGCCCGGCTTTTGGGGATTTCCCCCCGGACGGGGATTTGAGCCCCCAAAAGCCGGACATGTCCGGGAAAATCTGGACGTATGGTAACCCTAGCTAGTGTAGGCCAGCCTACAGCGCTTTAACCATCAGCATGTGGTCTAACCTACTCCGAGCAGATTTCGATGACATGATGATGAAACCCCCACCAGCAACCAGTCCACTAGCACTGCTCCAGACTTGAAATTTCCAAAAATTCCGTTTCAGAAATGTTGTAAAAGTTTTTTATTTTCATTTGTATTGATTTTACATTATTTCATGACATGTCGAATTGTAGTAGGGCATTATAATCACGGCCACCACTGACATCTCATTATATGATGTCATAGTTAAAATATTCTATTTTTTAAAACCATGATAGGCAGTTGCTACTTAGTACTGATTGAAACATCTCATCGTCTTTTCTAGATCTCAGTGTCTCCTGAGTGTGTGGTAATGAAACAGTCTGACGCGGTCGCTCGCCCCTTGTGCTGATTGTAAAGGCTCTTTATTACAGCAGGATTGGTAGCGTCACCTGTTATTAAGGTCACCCAACACTTCCCATTATAAAGCCCCATATCCAGTTGCTGACAACTTTGCCAAACTTTAACCCCTGGGACTGAAACTTTTAAGTCTAGCTGTCTGTCTGCCTCAAGCTGAATTTCTCTGAAAAATTTCAGCCAAAATGGTTCAACAGTTTCCAGAAACAAGGTTGGAGAACATACTGTGTTCTACCTATGTTACATTTTGGTGACCTTTTCTTTGCTTTCGACCAGGGGCTTGAAATTGACCCAGGAGGGTGGCTTTTGTGTCAGGGAAATGCCATTAGCTGTCCCTGTGAAAATCTGCCCCGGCCAAGTTATAGGTTGGCCAAGTTATAAGCCCTTGAAAAAAAAAATAATTAATTTAATTAATGGAGATATCCCATCTCCTAGAACTGGAAGGGACCTTGAAAGGTCATTGAGTCCAGCCCCCTGCCTTCACTAGCAGGACCAAGTACTGATTTTGCCCCAGATCCCTAAGTGGCCCCCTCAAGGATTGACCTCACAACCCTAGGTTTAGCAGGCCAATGCTCAAACCACTGAACTATCCCTCCCCCAGACTTTGCACATGCTCAGTAGAGACTTGCTAGATCTTCTCAGTTAAATTCCCTGAGGATTCTGTATGCACTGAGCCTGGAGACTGAGCAGGACTTTCCCTGCAATTGCAGCTCTAGGCTGAGCTCCAGAACTGAAGGCAAGGAGACCAACTGTCCTTTCTGTGCTCTCAATGTCCCCGCCACTGACGCCCAGACACTAAGAAGGAAGCTGCCTGATTTGAAAGCAGAGGGGACAGGAGACAGACCTTGGGGGAAGGAGATTAGTATGGAGATACTGGGAGGAAAACAAAGGAATGACTGGGAGCCACGGGAGGAAGTGGGGAGCTGAGATTAGATAAGGAGCCATGGGAAGACTAGGACTGGCTGGGCAAAGAGATTGGGAATCAGTGGGGAGGGGAGACACCTGATGAGGAGCTGGGATGCAGGGGGAGAACTAGGACTGGCTGGCCAAGGAGACTGGTGACAAGGAGCTGGGGCTGGAGGTTGGGAGCCATTGGGGAAGGAGAACATGGGCAGGGGGAAGAGAGAACAGACAGGGAGCTGGGGAGGGGGTTGGTGAGACTGGGAATGGGAATCTGGAGGGGGCAAATTAGGCCTGGGATAAGAAGCCTAAGGAGTGGAGACTGGGACTGAGAGCGGGAATGGGATGAGATACTGGGGTGGTGAAGAGACAGGACTGGGATAGGTTGGAGGGCAGAAGAGTCTGGGCCCACTGGAGCACATTCCCCTCCAGAGCCTCACCATCCTCTGCTGCCAGCAAATTGCTGTGAAATCCCTTGGCAAAGCATCTCATCCCCCTCTAATGCCGCTCCACTAAGAACCACAACCTCCTACCACTACCAGCTAGCAGTTACTCCATGAGCTCCACTTGCAGAGGTGTGTGTGGCTCTAAAGGCTCCAAGCCTGCTCATGACCCATGTGGCTAGCAAATGTGATGCCAAATGCTGGAATTTCTGTTGCAGTTTGCCAGGAAACATTTGCTTAGCCGCTGCAGACAGCTGATGTGACTTTAGGAGAAAAAGAGATCGGTCACCCTGGATTTATCATAGAAATGTGGCCTTGCTTCTTGGTAGCATATGAACTCCTCCTCAGCGGTTCTGGATCTGTGTTAGTTTCAGCCTCGAAGCCATCTTCACCCTTCCTCCCCCGCCACCCGCCACACTGTCAGAGGCTGGGTACCATAATGCAACAAGGAGCCCGAGCAACATAAGGGTCACTCTATGGGCAGGTCTACACAACGGGGCTAAGTCGACCTCAGTTATGCAACTCCAGCTACGTTAATAACATAGCTGGAGTCAACGTACCTTAGGTTGACTTATTGCGGTGTCTACACCGCGCTGGGTTAACGGGAGAAACTCTCCCATCAACTTACCGAATGCTTCTCGTTCCAGTAGAGTTCCGAAGTCGACGGGAGAGTGATCGGCAGTTGATTTAGCAGGTCTTCATTAGACCCGCTAAATCGACCCCCAGTGAATCGATCACTGCGCATCGATCCTCCGGTAAGTGGAAACCAGCCCTATGTTAACAGTTACCTTGATCAGCTTTTCTACATCTCCATCACACAGCGACACTAAAGGCACAGTGAACGGCTTCCACACGGGATCCAACGTGTACTTAATCACCTGCAGTTTGGGAAGGAAGAAAAACGGTTCGATTAGAAGGAGCCAGTGGAAGTGAAGCATTGAACACAAAGTACAGGCTGGAGACATGTTTTCAGTAACTTTCGACAGAGAACAACTGGCATAAGGTTGGCATAGCTCTGCTGACGTCAGAGGTGCTCCACCGCATTACATGGGAGTAGCATCACCCAGTCATGGAGGTTGTCACTGACACTGAGCGCTGAACCATCGGTCTGGTCCACATTGCCACTCCTTTGTTGAAATTCAGCTTACGTGGTCTCAGAAATGGCAGTTTCTTGCTTGGAAACCTTTCCTGTTGGTCAGGACACAATTTTGTAGCATTTCATCAAAGTCTAAACCCAGGCAGATCTAATGTCTAGAACAAGGGTGGGCAAACTTTCTGGCCCGAGGGCCACATCGGGGTTGCCAAACTGTATTGAGGGCTAGGTAGGGAAAACTGTGCCCCCCAAACAGCCTGCATCTGCCCCCTCCCACTTCCCCCTGACTGCCCCCCTCAGAATCCCTGACCCATCCACCCCCCCTGCTCCTTGTTCCCTGACCGCCCCCTCCCTGGACCCCTGCCCCTAACCGCCCCCCAGGACCCCACCCCCTATCCAAACCTGCCCCCGCTCCCTGTCCCCTGACTGCCCCAACCCCTATCCACCCCCGACCCCCGACAGGCCCCCCCGGACTCCCACGCCTATCCAACCCCCCTGTTCCCCGTCCTCTGACTGCCCCCCCTCCGAACCTCCGCCCCATCCAACCAGCCCCTGCTCCCTATCCCCTGACTGCCCCCCGGGACTCCCTGCCCCTTATCCACCCCCCCACACACTCCCCACCCCTTACCGGCCGGAGCCAGCCACGCCGCCTGGCAGGAATTCGCAGCCACGCCGCCCAGAGTGCGGGTAGCGCAGCAAGCTGAGGCTGCGCGGTGGGGGGCAGGGGGAGAGAAGCCAGCAGGAGAGGGGGCGGGAGCTCAGGGGCCGGGCAGGACAGTCCTGCGGGGACTTCCAGAGTTAAGACATGAGCCTCTATAGCAGGATCTAAAGAACCAACTCGGAGCCGTAGGTAGGGTGACCAGATCACCCAAGTCAAATATCGGGACGCGGGGGGCGTGGCAAAAAAAAAACAACCACACCCTTCCTCCACAAGCGCTGGAGGAAGGCCCCGGAGACGCAGGGGAAGCGCGGGGCCGGGGTGAGTGAGAGTCCGGCCTGGTCCCCAGCAGGCAGGACTCAGTCGGGCGGTAGGGAGAGTAGGGGGGCGGCCCGTGGGGCCAGGCAGCGGCTGTTCTCCCCCCTGGGCAGCGGGACTCGGGAGCAGCCGCTGCTGCAGCTCCCACTGCCGCGGGAGGAGGAAGCGGCTGATGGCCAAGCTCGGCGGCTGCGGTCGGGATGCGGGACAAACAAGGAAATATCGGGACAGTCCCGATAAAAATCGGGACGTCTGGTCACCCTAGCCGTAGGACACTCGTATAGAACAAGCACTGAGGGGTGAATCATAGCAGTGTAGGGAGGAGGTTATCTAGTCCAGCCCCCTGCACTGAGGCAGGAACAAGTAAACCTAGACCATCCCGAACAGGTGTTTATCCAACCTGTTCTTAAAAACTTCCAAAGATGGGGATTCCACAACCTCCCTTGGTAACCTGTCCCAGTGCTTAACTGTCCCTAGGGTTAAAAAGTTTTAAATACCCAACCTAAATCGCCCTTGCTGCCAACTATGCTGATGACTTCTTGTCCTACCCTCGAGAACCAGCAATCGCTGTGAAGCGTAACACACACTAAACAGCAGGGTTCATAAGCAAAGAAAACTTGCCTTCAGCCTCGCCTTTGACAAGCTAGCAGAGAAGACTAAGATTGTATTTTTCCACGTGTTTCTCTCATTTAATACACCTTCCATTTCTTAAGGCCACACGCACAGCAGGTTTTCGGCCATGCAGAAAGGTGAACGCGAAATACATTGTTAGTCTAAAACTAAACTCTAAACACTATTTAGTCTACTATAAATACTAGTTAGTCTAAATACTTAACGCTAAATACATTGTTAAGTCTTTAAGGTGCCACCAGACTCCTTGTTGGTTTTGTGGATACAGACTAACACGGCTACCCCCCGATGCTAAATACATGTAGTAGGTAATTGCCTATTTATACATGGAAGTTTTGCTTTCTCCAAAGCCATCAAGTGGCTTCTACTACAACCAGAGCATTTCGGTTTAGTTACAATCAGGATTAGCATTGCTCCTGCAGGATAAGGGTGAGCTTTGTCAGCAACTAGCGACAGGAGCCAAGGACTGGCTTTTATTTTGCAGCGATGGGTGATGCAGACAGTCCCTCGTTAGGGAACAGGAAAAAAACCTGACATTAAGAGCACAGTTTAATGAAGGATTTGTAAACACCTCCTACATCAGGTTGGAAAGACCAGGGGGGAACCCACGCACATTAAGAATACACACTGTATGGTGCCCGTATGCTGCCAGACGCCAGGTCTTTGAGGTGGGTGTCTATGAAAGGATCAATGCTTATTTCACCACATGGCACCCACCTGGAGATTCGCACCTTATTTTAAAACATACTAACGACAGCATTATCCTACCACCTCAGACACCTCTGTTACTGAACAACAATGGGATCAGACTAATAGCCAGGAACATACCAAAAGCTGCAGCCCAAAGGAACCGGCAATTGCTTTATTTCTGGTACCCCCCCCCCAAAAAGAATCTAGATGTTTCTGTCATTTGGAATTCCTTTGAGAGCAGCAGTTTATTTTCAGGGCTGTTAAGTGGGACGTTATTTAAGCCTCTCTAAATGTGCAGAATTTTTTCCCCCTAGCCACTTAAAGAAAATAAAGCTTCAATAGATTCCACCGCAAGGTACGGCATTATGCTTCGCAACCCGTGTATTTATTTAGTCTCAGGTTTCCCAATGAAGTCGGCAGCAGATAATGAACAAACACTGCCACGTGGCCAACAACGAGTCAAATGGGACTCACTAAAATGGGAGCCAGCAAACGGAAATCAAGTTTTCCCATGGAAAATTTCAGTTTTGTCAGAGAGGTGCATTGTGTCAGAAAATGGTTCCAAAATTCCCAACCAGCTCTACTTTTCAACTCATCTTAGGTCTGAATTGACGGTCCTGGGTTTGAAATTCTCTGTTTACCCCGGGCTTAAGCAGTCACGGGATCCGTACTGATTATTCTGCCCTTGAGTTTAAGTGCGTTGGCCAACATTTTCAAAAGCAGCCTCTGATTTTGAGTGCCCAACTTGAGACATTTTTGAGAAGCACCAAGTATCTGCTGCTCTGGTTGAAGTCAAGGTAAGGGGATGACAACAAGTGGTCAAAAAAATGGAAAATGTTTGTATTCCTTTTTTAATTAAAAAAAAAAATCCAAACAGCTCTCAAAAGACCAGCACAAATCACAGAGTAAAAGTATGGAACAAGGTCTGTTTCAGATACTTCCACCTTTCCCTCACTCATACCACGTATTTTCCCTATAAACAGTATTTCCCTCCCCTTTTGCTAGCAATAAATCTAGAATATTAACTAGATTCCCACCCCCCAGAAGAAGAAGAATATAAAAGTTGTGAACCCAAGTTCTGAAAAGTGAATGATAGCCTAGAATAATTAATGTTTTTCAGACTAGTCCATTTTGTCCTCTTAATTATGCATTTGATAGTATGGATTCATACAAAAAAGTGACCCATTACACCCAAATACACAATATTTCAACAAACTGGCTAGTGTATGTCTGCAGCATCGGAATTAGAATTATTGGAATTAGGACAGCACAGCTGTGTGTCATAGGCCATATACAGAAAATAGCGGAGATTCCCCTTTAGCTCAAATGGCAGGGTGCTTTTGTGGGATCTGAATTCTATTCCCACAGTCATTATTAAGTTTTGAGGAGCTGTGTGATGTAGTGTAGGGACAACTGAATTACTTAGATGGTTAAAAATGGTTATAATATGTTCTTTCCACATTGGGGATCAATATATTAAGTTTTCAAATAAATTTTCAAAACCCCTACACATACAGGCCTAATATAGGCAAAGCTATCGCAGAATGAGCCATTACAGAATAGCTTCCTGTGCAGACGCACTATTCTAGCAATAATTATTCTGAAATAGTGTCACGGATCACAGCATGGCCGGGCACCAGGAGAGTCAGAGCCCAGGGTCAGGGCCAGAGTCAGGAACTGAGCAGGGCTGGTGTGGACTGGAGCAGGGCAGGAACAAGACTGGGAGAACAAGGCTGGAGCAGGAGCAATCACGGCTGTGGGCGGAAGTGTAGAGCAGCCAGTGACCTGCTGCTACTGCTGAACTCCAAGGCAGACCTGTGGGCACCTTGAAGCCAATCAAGCAGCCCGGCCAATGAGGTGATGTTGCTGCAGCCCAGCTGGGCTCATTTACTGGCCCGAGGGCTGAGCCACCTAGCCTCAGGATCAACTGAAGGAACTCCAGCCCATAGTTCATGACAAACAGGGCATCCACACAGGGAGCTATTTTATACCAAGTGGCTGTGTGTGGCAAAATGTAACCCTGTGTTCACATCCTGCCGGCTATTGTAATCATTTTTGTACAAGGTATGCCTTGTGAGGTATCATTTGAAAACTCATAATTTGCTGGTCAGTATCGTCCTGACAACATATGTGTGGCAACACTGTATGTGAAGTTATACTATGGTGATCTTAACACATGTGCCAAACCCCACAGCCGTGCCCAAACAGACTGGCAAACAGCTCTGTCCCTAAACAAAGGAACATGTGCTCTACTTAATTTGCACTTAAGCAGTAAACAGAGCCATCAAGCAGGAAGGGACACAAAGAAAGCTCGAATGGGTGAGGGGAAAAAAGGCAGCAGGGAACATCCTTCCACATAGACTCTTTGTCTCCCAGTGCCCAGCTGGAAATGTTTTTCAAGAGAGGGATTGAAACTAGAAAAAGGAGGGACAAACATCCCAATGCAGCCCTCTTTCTTTCCCGGCCCATCGCATTCACGGGACCTGAAGCAACAAAGGAAGCTTCGCTGGGCTCTGGGGGAAGGGGTCCTGAGTGACAGGGTTTGGTCAATAAGACTGCCGGAAGCATGTGGTAAGAAACTTTGCTTGAATCTGATATAGTTTGTTAAGTTAGGTATTAGTAAACGTCTTATCTTTATTATTCTTGAAACCATTTCATACTTTTATGCCTCATTACTTGTACTCACTTAAAATTTAGTTCTTTGTAGCTGATAAACTTGTTTTATTGTTTTATCCAATACAGTGTATTTAAACTGAAGTGTCTGGGAAATGCCACTGAGGCTTTACCTACTGCTGCAACCCTTGTTCTGTCTTGGTCACCTCTCACCAGGATCGACGTGACCAGCCTGCTTCGCCCCTCTCCAGTTTATCCAGAATCCTGCTGTTTCTCCTTCTTTTGCTGCTCCAGCTACATCACCCCTCCTTGAGTCCTTGCCTGGGCTCTTCGTTTTTACCTCAGGTTCAACCCCCTCTTCTCCATGACTCTACACTCTTGACCCCTCTTCCAGCTCTGCTCTCCTGCAGTCCTACTCCACCGTCCCCTCCCAATCCATTCACTTTACCGGTCCTTCCTTCTTCCCCACCCTCGCTTGGATTCTTTCAGACTGCCCTGACCGCAGTGCATCCTCTCCACCTCCTTAAGACACACTTCTTACATGAAGCCTAAGTTGGTCTCCTCTCTAATCAGGCCTCCACACTCTCCTATCTGTATATTGTTACCCTGTGCTTGGTTTGGTGGAACTCAAGTCACAGGCTCTTTGGGCCAGGTGGAATCTCTTCTCTGCAAAGTGCTGTGCATAGCTACAACACTTACATAATTAGGGTTTCTGATGTTCAGTTTTAATTGATAAATACCAACGAAGCCCTCTCCCCATAAAAACCAAATTAAATCTGTATATCCAATGAACACCGAGAAAACTCTGGAAATTGTTACTTGTATCTAAGGGCCTGTCCACATGAAGCAGTAATGTGGACTACAGGGGTGTGATTCCTAAAATGCACCAACATGTTGTGCATTAATTGGACTGTGTAGACCCTGCTGGTGCGCAGTCAACGTTCTCTAATGCACTTTAACTTAGTACGGTTTGAAACAGTATTACATTAAATTAAAGCATGCGAGGGAACATTACAAAGAGATTATTCATTACAGTAAAAACTATTGTAATGAGTAATGTACAGTACATATTACCAGTTACAGTCCATACAAAGAGAAAGCCCTGAAGAAAACCAAATCTTTGCACGGAAGTAAAAAATTGCTAAAAATAACCTCCACCCCCAAACCTCAGAAGCCCTAAAAATACATTGATTGTAGAATCATAGAATTGCAGGACTGGAAGGGACTCTGAGAGGTCATCTAGTCCAGTCCCCTGCACTCATGGCAGGACTAAATATTATCTAGACCATCCCTGACAGGTCATTGTCTAACCTGCTCTTAAAAACCTCAATTATTTGTTTAGCTTATTTGCTGAAACTCTGACCACCACCAACTCTCCCACTTTCCAAGTCAAACAGTCTCAGCTGGACATGGGTAGGCAAAGAAATGGATTTACAACAAGGTCCACCTGTCCGCTCACCTCTGATCAGTGATACTATCAGAAAAAAGGTTAAGGACAAAAAAGTACCAAGTGGCTAACCCACTCACCTCCGTTCTGTGGACCAGCATCCATTTCCCATCGTCGCCTGGTTTATAAAACTCTAGAAATGGATCTGACTTTCCAAACAGGTCCTGTGGGAAAATGCAACATGGGTTATACAATTATTTCCATTCAACTGTATGATGCTCAGGCATGGGACACCCTGCAAAAGGAAAATGACACCCTTCACAACAAGTTAGAGGACTTCATAGTCCTAGTTGTCTTCTGCCAAGGCAGGGAAGAATATAACACAGAATTAAAGTGACAACACATGGTTATTAAACATCCCCTAGCAAGTTTTACAAGTTTAACTGATAGGATTAGTAATAAGCACCTAGAATGGGAGTATTGTTATAAAAGAGACTGGTCTCGTATTTATTTTGACCTGCACATTGTAAGTATTAAGGGTGTGGTTTTCAAAAGCTCTCAGCGTTAGTCTGACGCTGCTCCTATTTTAAGTCAATGATAAAACTCCACTGATGTGATGGGTGCAGTGTTACAGCAAAGCCCTCTTGAAACACACACCCTAACCTCTTAGGACTTGTCTTCAGAAGTGTGGACACATTTGTAGCACTTTCAAATGTCTAGCAATTTAGGTTGTCCCTGTACATTTAACAGGAGGCGGCTAAACTGACAACAGACAGATGTAAATCAACGTAAGAGTGTCCACACACCACGCTGCATCCCTTTAATTAAACTGGTTTAAAATCCCACCTTCAGTTCAACAACTCTGTTTAGACCAGACCTTAGTACAGGAGGAGGAGTACCTACGCTGATGGGAGAAGCTCTCCAGTTGGCGTAGGTAGTGTCTTCATTAAGGGCTGCAGTGCCGTAAGTATAGACAAGCCCTTACATTGTTAGAGACACCACTCAAACAAAGAGTAACACTGGCTATTGGAAGAAGGTCTCCAAGCCCCACATTTTCAAAAGCACAGGGAGAGGGTCTGTCTTTATGAAAGAGCTCACGAACTTTATTGGGAACCATGAAGCTAAAATTCCGGGCAACCCTGAAGACTTACAAGGCAGAGGTATATTCATGAAGCGCTACATTAAACTCTTGCAGCCAAACTATTTTACCCAGAAGCCCAGAGAAATGCATAAATTCAACAAATGCAAACACATTAACCAAGTGCAGATGGACCCTGCAACATCCTAAATGCGTATCACCAACACGTTTCCCATTTGGCCCACATTTTACGGTAAATTGTTCCAGTAGAAAAACTGCGCAAGTTTACAGGTTTTCCATGTGCGATTGCACATTCACAGTCCTAACAGCAACATGCTGAGTGGGTTCTATAGAGAATATGCATCCCGCAACGGAAAACCACGTAGCTGAGTTCAGGTTTAGAAAAACATCTGAAGCATTAAAAAATAAAAAAAAATGCACAAACGTCCCGGAATGAAAAGATATACACAGCAATAAGAAGCGAACGGAGCAAACCCTTTATGGTTTCTCTAGCGCAAACCACATCAGCCTTGACAGACAGATCATGTAATAATCAGAGACACGCTGACTCTGCTCCAGCCAATGCTGTTTGCTGTTAACTTTCACTCTATCTTTAGATACCTCCCCGATAAAGAGCCGCTTGTTTCCTGCCAGTTTATAGACACACTCTCTCTATGTATGCAGAGAGATTATTTATAGGCGCACTCACACCGGGCATAGGGAACCATATTGATACTGTTAGTTACAGCCAATACCCACAATTTAATCCATGAGCAGTCCACTTCCCATCAGTGGCATTACTTGTGGCGTAAGGCACTACTCAGTGAGTAAAGGGATCAGACTCTGACCTTGAATGGTTAGTGAAAACAAGTTTGTTGCTTAATATCCTCAAAAGACAAAACACTCAACAAAGCTGGTGGAAAGAGGAAGGAAAGCGGCAGCAGTAACACTACATGAGCGAATCATAGGACTGGAAGGGAGCTCGAGAGGTCATCTAGTCCAGTCCCTGGACTGATCCCAGGGTCCCAGCTCCACTCCACTGCAGCCCCTTTCATCAACGGATCTCAAAGCAATTTACAAAGGAAATCCGTATCCCCATTTTACAGATGGGGAAACTGAGGCACGGGGAGACAAAATGCCTTGCCCCGGTACCCAGCAGGCCAATGCTAGAGATGGAATAGGACCACAGGGCGATTGAGTCCCAGTCCAATGCTCTATCCATTAGGTTCTCATGAGTCACTGATACCTTTACAAGTAATGGTTTTCAGGATCCCATAGCTGATAAAGAGGTTTAACGTTTGCACGTTGAGAATAAAACACCCACACACCTTTTTATCCAGTTTTCTGCCAGCCATGCTCAGAGTGATCACTCTGTTATCTGACAGCTCTTGGGCAGCTATCTGAAAGACAAGAGAAAGTTTTATTCATTTTTAGAATGAAAATTAAATTCACTGATTAATTGCACGAGAGATTCCAAAGCCAAAACTACGAAAGAGCATGTTAGGCCTTCTTTGTTTGTTTAATCGTTTACTATTTAGAATGAGATACATCCCTACAAGCTGCACAAGACCTGTTCTCAAATACACTCATTACATAGCCTAAAAATACAGCAAGGATTAGGAACTAATATCACCTTTGTCAAACAGTAGGTAATTTTACCAGTCCAGACACAAATCTATTTCCCGCCCTCCCCCCGCCTTTTACTAGAATTGTTAATGAAAAAACAAAAAAAGACTATTGAGTTTATAAAAACATCATCACCCTCGTCACTGAACGGAGAAATTTACAAGGTTGATTTATACACATGACCCATAATTAGACCATCTATGGCCCTGATCCTGCAATTGGATGCAAACGTCCGCATCCGTTCGCCCATATGCAGCCCCACTGAACTCAGACAGATCCAGATGCAGGATTGGGCTCCAAGTGTTGCTACTACGATTCAGAAGGAACCATCAAGGTACTTTTCTTCCCCTCCACTACTCATTAGTACTGCTCGGTGTCTTTGAAGCTTAAAACTGAAATCTAGTCTCCTTTACCCCTATAGCCTAGACATACTGGTTCTTTGTTGTACAGCTGCTGAGTTAGTTCAGTCCACCCGCCTAATGCTTATTTCCTGCCTCCCGCCCCACTCCATGGCGGACTCCCTCTGTTCTCTAGTCTTCCCATGTCACGCTTCAGTACAACATCCATAACGCAAACATTGCGCCCATTTGCAAATGCAGGTTGGGCCATTTTCTCTTTTGCCCCATTTAGATTTCACCCCAAAAGCTTCTGTGAAATCAAACTGGCAGAACGAAAAATAATTCCATGGGAATAATATGGCTGGCATCAGTGCAATGTGTTGCATTTCCCCCCTCAATTCGCCTCCTGCCCTAGCCTTGGAAAAGGGACATTGAAAATAGCTTTTTTCCTCCAACAACCTTTGCTTCCCAAAATGATTAGACTAAAAAACAGTGAGTCATGGAGCATCTGTTGGGTTTGAGCCAAGTGGAGCTGGTTATCATCATAAGAACAAAAGAATGGACATACTGGGTCAGACCAATGGTCCATCCAGCCCAGTATCCAGTCGTCCGACAGATCCATCATCCCCTGTCATCCACTCCCAGCTTTTAGAAGTCTGAGGTTTAGGGACACCCAGAGCATAGAGTTGAGTCCCTGACCATCTTGGCTAATAGCCATCGATGGACCGATCCTTCATGAATTTATCGGAGTCTTTTGTGAATCCAGCTATAATTTTGGCCTTCACAACATCCCCTGACAACTAGTTCCATAGGTTGACTATGTGTTGTGTGAAGGAGTACTCCCTTTTGTTTGTTTTAAATCTGTTACCTGTTAATTTCATTGGGTGACCCCTGGTTCTTGTGTTATGGGAAGAGGTAAGTAACACTTCCTTATTCACTTTCTCCACACCATTCCTGATTTGAGACACCTCGGTCATCTCTCTCCCCTTAGTCATCTCTTTTCTAACCTGAACCGTCCCAGTCTTTTTAATCTCTCCTCATATGGAAGCTGTTCCATAGCCATGTTTGTTGCCCTTCTCTGTACCTTTTCCAATTCTAATCTATCTTTTTTTAGATGGGGCAACCAGAACCACAGGCAGTATTCAGGGTGTGGGCGTACCATGGATTTATACAGTGGCATGATGATATTTTCTGTCTTATTATGTATTCCTTTCCTAATGGTTCTTAACATTCTGTTTGCTTTTTTTAAACTGCTGCTGCTCATTAAACTGATGTTTTCAGAAAACTGTCCACGATGCCTCCAAGCTTTCTTTCCTGCGTGGCAACAGCTAATTTAGACCCCATCATTTTGTGTGCATAGCTGGGATGATGTTTTCCAATGTTCATTACTTTTCATTGATCAATATTTAATTTCATCTGCCATTTTGTTGCCCAGTCACCCAGTTTTGCAAGATTCCTTTGTAACTCTTCGCAGTCTGTTTTGAACTTAGCTATCATGAGTTATTTTGTATCATCTGCAAACTCTGCCTCCTCACTGTTCACATAAGATCATTTTTTCCAGATCATTGATGAATAGGTTGAGGCTTTCTGAAAGTCCAAGTACACTATGTAAACTGGATCACCTAGTCCACATGTTTGTTGCCCCTCTTTCCCCAAACAATTGTAATAGATTGATGAGGCATGATTTCCCTTTACAAAAGCCATGTTGACTCTTCCCCAACATATCACGTTCGTCTATGTGTCTCACAATTCTGTTCTTTATTATAGTTTCAACCATTTCCCCTGGTACCGAAGTTAGGCTTACCGGCCTGTAATCGCCAGGATCGCCTCTGCAGCCTTTTAAAAAAATTGTTACATTAGCTATCCTCCAGTCGTCTGTACAGAGGCTAACACAGTTAGTAGTTCTGTAATTTCATATTTGAGTTACTTCAGAACTCTTGAGTGACAACCATCAGGTCCTGGTGACTTACTAATGCTTCATTTATCAATTTGTTCCAAAACCTCCTCCACTGACATCTGAATCTGAGACAGTTCCTGAGATTTATCACCTAAAAAGAACGGCTCAGGCGTGGGAATCTCCCTCACATCCTCTACAGACCAATGCGAAAAATTCATCTAGCTTCTCCGCAATGGAATCATCTTCCTTGAGGGCTCCTTTAGCACCTTGATTGTCCAGTGGCCCCACTGATCATTTGGCAGGCTTCCTGCTTCTGATGTACTTAAAAAAAAAATGTTTGCTGCTAGTTTTTGTGTCTTTTGCTAGTTGCTCTTCAAAGTCCTTTTTGGCCTGCCTAGTTATACTCTTACCTTTGACCTGCCAGAGTTCATGTTCCTTTCTATTTTCCTCAGTAGAATTTGACTTTCAATTTTTAAAGGATGTCTAACCGCCTCTTTTGCTCTGTTGTTTAACCATGTTTGCACTTCTTTGGTCCTCAATGTTTTTTTAAAATTCGGGATATTGTGACGGGATCACCTCTACTAACTGCTCAATGGTGCCTCCTTGTGGCTCATCTGGGGAACTAGCTCTGCCATCTGGTCTGATGCCACTTCCTGCGGTTACTCAGCCCGTCATTCCCCTCACTTACTCCGTGACCTCTCACGCACCAGGAGCTGCAGCTCTTTCCTCTTCATTGCTTAGCCCTCCGGCTAAGTCACATTAAAGTTCTCCCCCCTTCTGGGGTAACATGAACGTCTGCTTCCAGCTGCCTCTAAATGGGCTATCCCTAGTGTGCCACTCCAGTAGTGACTTGTAGGGGAACCCAGGCCCACCCTCTACACCAGGATCAACTTCTGTTGGCGAGAAGAAGAACTAGGGGTCACCAAATGAAATTAATAGGCAGCAGGCTTAAAACAAATAAAAGGAAGTTCTTCTTCACACAGCGCACAGTCAACTTGTAGAACTCCTTGCCTGAGGAGGTTGTGAAGGTTGGGACTATAACAGTGTTTAAAAGAGAACTGGATACATTCATGGAGGTTAAGTCCATTAATGGCTATTAGCCAGGATGGGTAAGGAATGGTGTTCCTAGCCTCTATTTGTCAGAGGGTGGAGATGGATGGCAGGAGAGAGATCACTTGATCATTACCTGTTAGGTTCACTCCCTCTGGGGCACTTGGCAGTGGCCACTGTCGGTAGACAGGATACTGGACTAGATGGACCTTTGGTCTGACCCAGTACAGCCATTCTTATGTTCTTATGAGAGAGACCTGAAGAAGAGCTCTGTGTAAGCTTGAAAGCTTGTCTCTCTCACCAACACGAGTTGGTCCAATAACAGATATTACCTCACCCACCTCGTCTTTCATTAATGTCACACAAAAGGATCCTAGACATTAGAAAGTTAAACCCTACTGGGTCTTCTCTACAAATGCAAATGGTTTCCCCAACCGAATCTATGACTCTGGGCAGAATCTGCATTTCATTCGTCATCCCAGCACTTGGGATGTTTAAATTGATGCAAAAGCTCAGTGCCTGCTCCCAGCCACATCAATTGGATTCCTCACTGGCAAACTTTCTAACCTGCTTTCCGTTCACGAGGCTATCACAGAGAACGGGGCTGACCTGTCGCTACTGTAAGTCATCTTGCATCTGAAGAAGTGAGGTTCTTACCCACGAAAGCTTATGCTCCCAGTACTTCTGTTAGTCTTAAAGGTGCCACAGGACCCTCTGTTGCTTTTTACAGATTCAGACTAACACGGCTACCCCTCTGATACTGTAAGTCAGTGGACACCAGTTTTCACCAGCTGAGGGTCTGGCCCCAAGGGCCAAAATCATCCATTGTTGCTACTCAAGTTATACCAGGCATGAATGTAGCCCAGCACATAATGAGTTAAAGAGGCATCTTTCACCCTCCTATAAACTGAAAAATAGCTTTCACTGCCAAACACCAGTGGGCTGGTTTTGTCTGGAATATGCTCTAATGTGTTTCTTGGTATTTTAAGGAAGGGAACATTTTATAACAAAAAAATAGAAAGTCATTTATGTTGTCAGTGATTATCTGCTGTTTTTTAGAAAAGGCTTCATCCTCCTCTAAGGGCTGTCCCCCTCCCAACCCATCCTCTTCCACTGCACCCTGCCGCCTAGCGCTACCTCCAACCTTGTGTGTGACAGAGGGTATTACACCAGGCATGACAAACTCCTGGCGTCGCCGTGGGGCTCGGCAGCAGAACACAAGGGTATGAAACAGCAGCTGAAGACAATCAGGCTCCAGAGAACTCAGAAGGGTAGAAATACACACATTTTGATTTGTATTAGTCCGATAATATTTCAGAGCGTTCCCCGATGCAAGATCCCTACATGAGTATTTAAGAGGAAGCATAATCACATCTAGGTCATTACGAAACTTGGGAAATCAAGGGACAATTTTCGTCAGAAGGAGCAATCAGAGGACACTTACTGCTTAAGAAAAATGCAGAGGCAGTAGAGAGTTATAGCCTGTCGT